ATGATCTCCAGTTCCCTCCACATTGCTGCAAAAAAACATGATTTCATTCCTTTTTATGGCTGAGTAGTACTCCATGGTATGTATGTATATCAATCTAAAACCCATCAACAGATGAGTGGATACATATATATACCGCATTTTCTTTATCCACTCATCTGTTGATGGGCATTTAGGTTGATTCTATGTCTTTGCAGTCATGAGCATATCTATATCTTTGCAGCTGCAATAAACACGCAGGTGCAGGTATCTTTTTTTTTATAAAATGACTTTCTTTTTTCCTTTGGGTAGATACCCAGTAGTGGGATCGCTGGGTTGAACGATCCCACAGGTGGGTTTCCTGTTTGTTCTTTGAGGAATCTCCATACCATTTTCCATAGAGGTTGTACCGTTTTATCTTCCCATCGACAGTGTATAAGCATTTCCTCTCACTACACCTGCACCAACACCTGTCGTTTTTTGACTCTTTAATAATGGCCATTATCAAGGTATATAATCAGGTGTAAGTTGGGGAAGGCACAAATGCTTCAACAAGGCTGTATCACAGGCTGTGGGGTGTGCAGTGACCACAGGCAGAGAGGTGCCAGGTGGCCTGCCTCCCCCAAAGGTACATCTCTTCCTCCTCAGATCTTTGAAGACCGGCACCCAGACACAGGTGGACTTTCTCTGCACCTACTGGCAGCCACCCGGCGCCCCAGTTCTGCTTGCGAAGAGGGTGTTCCATGAGCTGAGCCAGCAGACCCGTGGCATCACCCGGCTGGGCCCCTACTTTCTGGACAAAGACAGCCTCTATGTTAACGGTGAGAAGGCCTCAGCCCCACCTCCTAGGCCCAACCCCCTGCAGCCCAGGATGATGTTACTGGTTCTCTGGGGGAAGACTTAGGATTCGAATCCCAGCTTCAAAACACACAGACACGCACACACACACACACACACACACACACACACACACACACACACAGAGCTACCCTGCAAGGTTGGTCTTTCTTAATCCCATTTTACAGATGAAGAAACTGAGGCTTAGACAGCTTAAGCAATTCGCCCAAGTGGGTGTGGCTCGAGAGTGGTGGATGCTGGGCATGAGTGGTGCTTGTCATGTTCAATGTCATGCTCCACTCTGTGTAACTCACAAAAGAGTCTTTGCAGCGGAGACCTGGAGGAAGAAAATACATCTGTCTCCTCCCTGCCTTCTTCATGAAGTGGGTGCCCCATATCACTTATACGAGGTACCCGGGTGTAGGTACCAGGATGTGGGGAGATACCCTGAGCCTTCATTACTCCCATTTTAGCAAAGGGGGAAACCAAGTCATAGAGAGGGAAGGCACCTGCCAATGCCTTGCACAGTAGGTTTGTGGCTAGTCTAGGTCTTGATGTTCTTTTTTATTATTAGTTGTTTAAATGAATGGGGTACAAGTGCAATTTTGTTACATGCATATGTAGTGGCGAAGTCAGGGATTTTAGGCTATCCATGACCCAGATAACATACACTGTCCCCGTTAAGTAATGTCTCATGCTCCATGCCGTCACCCCCTCACCCTTCCAAGTCTCCATTGTGTATCATTCCACTCTCTCTTCATACATCCGTACACATCATTTCATTCCCGCTTATGAGTGAGAACATGTGATATTTGTCTCTCTGCGTTTGACTTGTTCACTTAAGATAAGGCCTCCAGTTCCATCCGTGTTGCTGCAAAAGACATGACTTTATTGGTTTTTATGGCTGAATCGTATTGCATTGTGCACATATAGCCCATTTTCCTTATTCAATCCTCCATCGGTGGCCTCTCAGGTGGATTCCGTATCTTGGTTGTTGTGAATAGTGATGCAATCATACGAGTGCAGCTTGGGTCTTGATGTTCCAAGTTTACATCTGGTCCCTTTGATGTGGCCATTGCAGGAGCCTGTTTAGGGCTTTCCCCCCTTGTAAACTGCACAGTTTATGTGTTTCATTTTGTGCGTTCATTCACATTTACTAAGCATATACACCAGGCCTTGTCCCTGGCTCCAGGGACGGAGCTAGGTTGCATGTGCATCTCGTCCTAATGGAAACTCCGGTGGGGCAGAGATGGTCTTTGTTCAGCACTATGTTCCCCAAATGTAAACGGAGCCTCACACAGAATAAGCCTGCAATAAATATGCATTGGATGGAGGGATAGATAGCAGGGAGGGCAGAAGGGGAGATGGTGGGGTGGATGAATGAATAGGTAGAGGGACAGATGTGTGGATGTAAAGGTAAGAGCCTCTTGTCGGGAGCATGCTGGAGAGGTGGGTCAGGAAGAGTCAGTTCGAGGGAAATATCAGGAAATTCTTTGTAGTGGAGACGACATTTAAGTCAGATCTTAGGAGGTGTATAAATGCTCACTCAGTACACAGACAGGAAAGCGTCCAGGCAGGAGCCCCATGTGGACAGAGGCAGAGAGTATCTGGGACTGTCGTGTGACCCCCCTTATGTGCAACTTCTTTGTTTCCAGGTTATCACGAACGTGGTCCGGATGAGCCTCCTGCAAGTATGTGTCTTTGATCCAGCCCATTTCAGAGACCCATTTTAGAGACCCGTGGGTCTTGGACCAAGCTCTTCCCCTCATTCATAAAGGGAGCTTGCCCCAAACTCAGGCCAGTCTCCTGAGTGCGGGCAATGCCTCAGTGGGAAGGAGAATGCTGAGTCCTAGGGCTCTTTTTGGACCTGCAGCCGTGGTGTTACTGGCCCTCTGAATTTTCCACACCCCTCGGGGTTGGAGGAAGAAGTTCAAACAGGCGTTCCCTACAGGGATGAGGGTTGAGGTCAGAGGATGACCTTGTAGTCCCTGCTTCCTGATGACAAAGTCTCCTAAGGGGACCGAAGCAGGGGCCTTTGTGGTCAAGCTGCAAATTCTGGTGGCTACTCAAGTAGTATTGGCTAAATTTGCCTATTCTCTCATCAGTGGTCCGTTCATCTGTTTTTCCAGCCATCCCTCCCCTCAGGAAGCATCCACCCATCCATCCACCCACCCATCCACCCACCCATATATCCACCCACCCACGCACCCATCCATCCATCCAGCCACCCATCCGTCCATCCACCCATCCATCCATCCATCCATCCATCCACCCATCCATCCATCCACCCACCCACCCATCCATCTACCCACCCATCCACTTATCCGTCTTTTTCATCCATCCATCTGTCCATCTGTCCACCCATTCTTCTGCCCATTCACCTGTTTTTTTCTTCCTCTGTCCTTCCTTCTGTCCTTCCATCTCTCCAACTTCTCCTCCTTGTTTTTATTCTTCTTGCCTTCTCTTCCTACCATTTGTCCATTCTTCCTTCTGCCCATCCATCTCACCTTCCATTTTTCTGCCTGTGCATCCATCTGTCCTCTTGGTTCAGCCTTGCTCTGGTCACCCCACTCTCACTCTCTCGGGCTAGTTAATTCATGGGCTTGCTCACCTGCTGCACTCACACATCACTCTTTCCCTCACTCTCATTCGTGGCCCACTTGTGAACGTTGTCCTGGCTTGGACCACTGTTGTGTCCCAGGTGAGGGGGCTTCTCCCACTATGTGGGAGCCTCTGTCCCTCTCTGATGACTTACCTTTCCACAGCTCCTGAGCCAGCCACCACATCCCTGCCTCCTCCAGAAGCCACCACAGGTATCTGGGGCTCCTTTTCCTTCCCAAGAGAGGCTCCTCAGCCCCACACCCCCACCAGCTGATTGTCACACAGGGGCTGGGAAGGAAGGATGTGAAGATTCTAGTGTCAGGGTGATCGTTCTGGTCACACAGATTAGACTAGCCATTCGGTCAGACACCTGCCCTCATGGACCACCCAGTCTCATGAGATAAACAGACCCTTATAACACAATGTGGGATGTTTCGGAGAGAGACGCCGGGCATAGTTTGGAGAGGGGAGGGCTATCTGGAGAAAGTTTCACCTAAACTGAGTCTTTAAGGATGACTAAGAGTGATCCAGGCAGATGGGGCACGAAGAGTATTCCTGGCAGAGGGGATTCCGTGAGCAAAGCCTCAGGAGCCAGAAACAGCATACAGTGTATGGGGAGAATGGAAAGGAATTTGATTTGCATGAAACATAAAGCTTAACCCAGAGTGGATGGATAAATGAAGCTGAACAGCTCTCTGGAGCCAGATCAGGAGGGACCTTGAATGCCAACTCAAGAAGATTGAACTTAACAAGGAAGGCCATAGGGAGCCATGGGTGGTCCTAGAGCAGGATGAACCACTGCTCTCCTGGAGCTCCACCTCACTGGGCTCTTGAAGCATGAATAGGAGTTTTCCAGGAAAATAAGAGGATGAAAGAGCATTCCTAGAAGTGGAACTGCATAGCAGGGACACAAGCAGGAAAGCTCACCCCAGGAGAATTCCTGTAAAATTCCAGTTTCCCCCCTGCCTTTGGGGTAACTTTCAATTTAGGAGCTCCCATAGCCCCCAGAATGTGGATCTGATTTTGGCTACTTCTGGCAGTCAGCAGGGGCCCCTGGGACATCTTGGCTCTGTGCAAAAAAAAAAAAAAAAGCTAAGGGCCCCCACCCTCTTTTCTTCTCTGCAGCTCTAGGTTATATACCCCAGAACGCATCGATCCCAAGCGAGTACCAGCTGATCTTCCGCATCATCAACTGGAACTTCAGCAATGCAGACTCCACCTCTTTGGAGTACACCACCCTGCTGAGGGACATCCAAGACAAGGTGGGGCCCTCCCCGCTCCTTTCCCTCCATCTGACTTATATCTATTAAGTGATTGTTTCAACAACTCTTCACTTTACCTATGTGTCATGGGTTTTCTCCACTTCCAAAGGTGGTACCGGGGCTGCCTTTCTCGTTTCCCATATGGGAAACTGAGGCTCAGAAAGGGGCGTGGTGTGCCTATGGTTGCACAGTGAGTTAGGGACATAACCAGGATGTGACCCCGCCACATCCAAGAGACCTCCATCCCTCCCACCCACTCTCCCTCCCCTTCTTTCTAGGTCACCGCACTCTACGCGGGCAGCCAGCTACAGGGCACGTTCCGCATCTGCCTGGTCACCAACCTAACGTAAGTTCAGAAGGTCGGACGTGTTGGCCAAGCAAGCAACTTGGCCTCTGAGCACCCGCGACACATCCCTGGGCTGGAAGTCCCCAGCTCGGTGCCCGTTAGTCCCTGTCGGTGAATTCAGCCACCTGCTTCCATAAACCTGCAGGGCAGGGGGTGAGGATTCACCTAATGGGGCCACCGATTTCCAGCATCTACCTCCTTCTTTTTTTTTTTTCTGGACATTTGGGAAAGACAACTTTTCGACGCATAATTCAAAATATCAGCCCAATAATAATATTCGGCACCAGCCGGGCTCCCCAGTGAGCATTTGCACATGTGGTCACCTCATCTGATGCTCACGGGGCAGCCCCTGTGAGGTGGGTACATCCCCCTTGTTCAGATGGGAAAACTGAGGCTCGGAGAACTGTCGACGTTGGGATTTGAACCCAGGAGGGCCAGGCGAAGGAACTAAGATATTTGTATTGGGGAAAAGGACACAGGGCTGCCTTTGAATATTTCCAAACATCAAGGGGTTTTTTGTCTTTAAGGTGCGGATAATTATAATAATACCTTTCACCAGAGTGATGGTGTGGGAATGTGTAAATTACTTCTTAGAGGTCCTGATCTATATAGCAATTGCTCAATAAATGCCCATTATTGTTACTGTTACTGCTTCTAGCTCTAATCCCTGGAAGCCTTCCCATGTTAGTCAGGGTCTCTTCTCTAGACAAGGGGAGGACGCAGCTAGACAACCCCCCACCCACAACCTGTCTCCACGTCTCTGCCTCTTTAAAGACAGCAAATTGAGACACTGCCGGTGTTGAGTGCTGGCTGAATTCCCATGGTTTCTATCCTTAGGCTGGACCCCATGTGGGTCACTGTCAGAGCACTGTTCTCCTCCAATCTGGATCCCAACCTGGTGAAGCAAGTTTTTCTGGATAAGACCCGGAATGCCTCATCCCACTGGCTGGGCGCCACCTACCAATTGGCGGACCTGCATGTGACAGGTACACAGTGGGGTGGCTGGTTTCGCAGCTGGAAGAGATGCGGTTATGTGATGAAGGATGGGGCATCTGAATAGTAGGGGAGTAAGCGGGGCTCTAGAGGGGGAAACAGGGCTTTCTGGAGGCCCATGTTGGCGACCCCTGGCAGCGGGCCATCCCACAGAGGCAGGAAGACAACATGCAGCAGTTGCACCCAGTGGAAAAATGGTGCTTTTTATGTGTAAATTTTTCCAGCCCAAAATGTAGGAAGATCCTGAGTTGCCTTCTTAGGACCCTTAATAATCAGTAATGTGGCTGGGTATGATCGCTCAAGCCTATAATCCCAGCACTTTCAGAGGCCGAGGTGGGAGGATCACTTGAGGCCAGGAGTTCGAGACCAGCCTGAGCAAGAATGAGACCTCATCTCTACCAAAAATAGAAAAATTAGCTGCGAATGGTGATGTGCACCTGTAGTCCCGGCTACTGGGGAGGCTGAGGCAGGAGGATCACTTGACCCCAGGAGTTGGAGGTTGCAGTGAGCTATGATGACACCACTGCACTCTAGCTGGGTCGACAGAGCAAGACTGTCTCAAAAGAAAAGAAAAGAAAGTGAAATGAGTTCTTCTCATCTTCTGGGTGCTGTGTGGAGAATGGGGTGGGAGGACAAGACCAGAGATGGGAAGACCCATTTGGAACCTACTCATCAGAAGTTTCAGCAAAAGTGTGGGACAGATGCCCACCGGGTGGTCAGCACCTGCGGGTGTTGTCTGCACCCCAGAGAGACACAGTCTCTCTTCTCCACATTGTAGTGGACTCTTACAACACTTGGTGGAAAGAGAACTGAACAGGTAGACAGGTGGATGGATACAAGCTGGACAGGTGGATGGAGGGTCTTCTGTAGCCCACCCCTAAAACTCCAGCTCATATCACACTGCCAGGAACAAGTAGGCTGGCTGGAATGACCACTTTCTTAAAACACTCTCTGGTTTTTTTGGTTTTTTTTTTTTTTTTTTTTTTTTTTTTTTTTTTTGAGACAGAGTCTTGCTGTGTAGCCTGGGTTAGAGTGCCATGGTGTCATCCTAGCTCACAGCAACCTCAAACTCCTGGGCTCAAGCGATCCTCCTGCCTCAGCCTCCCGAGTAGCTGGGACTACAGGCATGTGCCACCATGCCCGGCTAATTTTTTCTACATATATTTTTAGTTGTCCGATTAATTTCTTTCTATTTTTAGTAGAGACAGGGTCTCGCTCTTGCTCAGGATGGTTTCAAACTCCTGAGCTCAAACAATCCGCCCGCCTCAGCCTCCCAGAGTGCTAGGATTACAGGCGTGAGCCACCACACCCGGCCAAAACTCTTTATTTTTTATGAATTCTTTTTTTTTTTAATTTCAATATATCAAGGGGGTACAAATATTTTTGTTACATGGATACCTTGTATAATGCTTAAGTTAGGGATTTTGGTGCACCTGTCACCAGAATAGTGTTCATTGTACCTGAGAGGTAGGTTTTCTATCCCTCACACCCTCCCCCCTTCTTGGTTTCCAATGTCCTTTATGTACACACAGCTAAATGCCTGTGTGTACCCATCATTTAGCTCCCACTTATAAGTGAGAACATGTAGCATTTGGTTTTCCATTTCTAAGGTACTTCACTTAGGATAATGGTCTCCAATTCCAGCCAAATTTCTGCAAACAACATTATTTCATTCCTTTTTATGACTAAGTAATACTCTATGGTATATACATATATATGTACCTTTTCTTTAGCCACTTGTGAATTAATGGGCACTTAGGTTGATTCCACATCTTCGCGATTGTAAATTATGCTACAATAAACATTCAAGGACAGGTGTCTTTTCACTAAAATGACTTTCTTTTCCTTTGGGTGGATATCCAGCAGTGGGATTGCTGGGTCAAATGATAGGTCTACATTTATTTCTTCGAGGAACCTCTATACTGTTTTCAATAGAAAAACCTCTCTTGACATGGAATTTTTACATACTTTTTTTTTTTAATTCTAGAAATGGAGCTAAGCAGACCCAGCCCCCAGCACTTCCAGTTGAATTTCACCATCACCAACCTGCCATATTCCCAGGACATGGCGCAGCCAAGCACTACCAAATACCAGCGAAACCAAAGGAGTATTGAGGACGCGGTGAGAATGGGGTGGTGTGTCCACTCTGTGCCCATGCAGAGACTGAACCATGGATACCGGGTAGTCAGAGCGTGACTTTTATAACAACTCATGAAGACAGATTCTTATTCCCATTTTACAAATTAAGACACAGGCACAGAGAGGTTCAGGACCCAGGCACAGCATCCTACAGCTAAGTTGTACCGTGGAACGGGACATCCTTTGGTACACACGCCTGGGCTAGTGTTTGTCACGGCAAGAAAAAATAGAGATGAGGAAGTATGCTCAGTGGCTGAAAATTCTCTGATGCTACCGGGCATCGGATGCTGACCTGAGAAACATTGCCCTGTCTTTCAGCTCAACCGACTCTTCCGAAACAGCAGCATCAAGAGTTATTTTCATAACTGTCAAGTTTCAGCATTCAGGTGAGTTCCAACTCAGGACCTCATGACTCTGGCTATTTCCGTTGTGCTTTAAATAAAAGTGTCCCCAAGCCATAGCTATGGATGAGAGCCCTAGGAGTATAGAGCTGTCACCTATAAAAAAAAAAAATAAACAAAAACAAAAAAACCAGGGAGCCCACCAACTGGCTTAGAAACTCAAGGAAGTGTCTGCAGGCTGGGTGTGGTGGCTCACACCTGTAATCCCAGCACTCTGGGAGGCCGAGGAGGGAGGATCACTTGAGATCAGGACTTGGAGACCCACCTGAGCAAAAGCGAGACCCCGTCTCTAACAAAAATAGAAAAATTAGCCGGGCGTGGTCATGCACACCTGTAGTTCCAGCTACTTGGGAGGCTGAGGCAGGAGGAATGTTTGAGCCCAGGAGTTTGAGGTTGCTGTGAGCTAGGCTGATGCCATGGCACTCTAGCCCAGGCGTCAGAGTAAGACGCTGTCTCAAAAAAAAAAAAAGAGAGAGAGAGAGAGAGAGAGGGACTGTCTCCAAACCTCAGCATACATAGAGGTGCCTGCCTGGTGCTGGGAGCCATGGTGTCTGGAGTGTAGAATCCACTATGTTAAGAAATCAGAATCCATAGAAGATGGGGCGGGAGTAGGGGGTGAACAGGATGACTTAGAATCCAGCAGTCTAACTGTGCTGCCCGATAAGTTAACCCACTAACCATGTCAAACAATTTAAATTTTTTATACAGCTATTGAGATATAATTCACATACCATAAAATTCACCCTTCTGAGTGCAAAATCCAATAGAATGTTCATAGAGTGGTGAACTATCCCTACTATCTAATTTTAAAACATTTTGATCACCCCAAGAAGAAAACCGTTAACATTCACTTCTCATTCTTCCCTCCGCTCCTCCAGCCCCCTGACAACCACTGATCTACTTTCTGTCTCTGTGGCTTTGCCTGTGCTGGACATTTCATATAAATGGGGTCATCGTGCAGTATGTGGTCTTTTGCGACTGCCTGGTTTTACTTAGTGTAACGTTTTCAAGGTCCATCCATGTCGTAATGTTGCCATCCAGCCGGGTTCGTTTGCCTGCTGCCCAGGAGGAAGCCAGTACGCTGAGACAGCAGGGTTTACAGCAGAGAAAGAGTTTATTCCACATAGCGCTAAGCGGGGAGATGGGAGAAATTTCTCCCATCTGCCTCCCCAAGAATTTAGGAGACAGGGTTTTTCAGGACAGTTAGGTGTAGGCAATCGAGTCTGCTAATTGGCTGGGTTCAGGGCAGAACCTTAGGGTTGTAGAAATCGTCTTCTTTGCTGACCAGGTTCTTGGATGGGGGTCACAAGACCGGGTGAGTCAGTTCCTCGATATGGGCCACTGGTCTGGGTGGATCAGCCGTTCCATTGGAATTTGGGACCTGGAAGATACCTCAGAAACTAGCCCTAGGTTTCAAAGAGGTGATATTATCTATGCAGAAAGCTAAGCATCCTTATGACCACCAACTACGGGGCTTCTAGTGTGGCAATTATAGAGAAGCAATTGGGGGACAGTGGCTAGTAATTATCATTATTTTTAGCTCGGCCTGTGCCTTATTTTTAACTAGGCTCTTACCATAGTTATCACCTTGCACCCTGTCATTGATTTGTGTAAAGGGCGGTTTCAGTAGCGTGTATCAGTACTTCATTTCTTTTTTAAGACTGAATAAGGGATATTCCATTGTCTGGCTCTACCCTGTTTTGTTTATTCATTCATCCATTGATGAACATTTGGGTTGTTTCCACTTTTTGGCTATGATGAGAAAGGATGCTATGATCACTTCTGTACAAGTTTTTGTGTGAATTTATGTTTTCAATCATCTTGGTCCGATACCTAGGAGAGTGGTATTGCGGGGTCATATTTAACTCTATATTAACTTTTGGGGAACTACCAATCTGTTTTCTGCAGAGGCTGTCCCATTTTATATTTCCACCAGCAATATATGAGGCTTTCAAATTCTCCACATTCTATCCAACTTGTCATTGTCCCTTTTTTTTTAAATAGCCACACAAGTAGGTATAAAATGGTATCTCATTGTGGTTTTGATTTGCATTTCCATAATACCTAGTGAAGTTGATCATCTTATTCTGTGCATATTGGCTAGTTGTGTATCTTTGGAGAAGTATTTATTCAAGTTCTTTCCCATTTTTAAACTGGGTTATTTGTCCTTTATTGTTGGGTTGTAACAGTTCTTTATATATTCTGGATACTAGAAACTTATTAGATACATGATTTGTAAATCCTTTTTCCATTCAGAGGGTTGTCTTTTCACCTTCTTCATAGCATCCTTTGAAAGCACAGGAGCTTTTAATTTTAATGAAATACAATTTATTTATTTTTTACTTTGGCTGCTTACACTTTTAGTGCCATATATAAGAAACCATTGCCTAATTCAAGGTCATGAAGATTTACACCTATGTTTTCTTCTAAGAGTTTTATAATTTTATCTCATACATTTAGATCTTTGATATATGTTGAATTAATTTTTGTACATGTTGTGCAGTAATAGTCCAACTTCATTCTTTTGTATGTGGCTATCTAGTTGTCCTGGCATCTTGGTGAAAAAGACCATTCTTTCCCTGTTGTCTTGCCATCCTTGTTGAAAATCAGCTGTCTGTTAATTGTATGGGTTTGTTCATGGACTCTAAATTCTATCCCATCAATCTATATGTCTATCCTTATGCCAGTAGCACACTATTTTTATTCCTGTAGCTTCATCATAAATTTTAAAATTGGAAAGTGAAGTTCTCCAGCTTTGTTCTTTCTCAGTATGAGTTTGGTTATTCGTGGTACCTTGCGATTCCATATGAATTTTAGGATCAGTTATCAATTTCTTTGAAAGAGCTAGCTGGGGCTTTCATAGAGATTGCATTGAATCCACAGATCAATTTGGGAAGAGTTCCGTTTTGACAATATTAAATCCCCAATCCATCAACATGGTGTGCCTTTCTATTCACTCAGATCTTTTAAAATTTCTTTCAACACTGTTTTGTAGTTTTCAGTGTACAGGTCTTGCATTTATTTGTTAAATTTATTCCTGAGTATTTGTAGTTTTTTTCTTTGATGCCATTGTAAATGGAATTTTTTTTTCTTAATTTCATTTTTGGAATGTTAATTGCTAGTGTATAGAATCACAACCGATTTTTGTGTTTTGGTTTTATATCACACAATCATGCTGAATTAATAGGTTTTAGTAATATGTATGTGTATTTCTTGGGAGTTTTGAATATATAATATCACGTCATCTACAAATGAAAGTGGTTTTACATCTTCTTTTCCAATCTGGATGCCTTTTATTTATTTATTTTTCTTGCCTCATTTTCCCCATTGGAACCTCCAGTACAATGTGGATAACATATGGGTTGAAGGCAAACATCCTTGTCTTGTTCCTGGTCTCAGGGGGAAAGTTTTCAATCTTTCACCATTAAGTAGGATATTAGCTGTGGATTTTTCATAGATGTTCTTCATCATGTTGAGAAAATTTCTTTCTAGTCCTCGTTTGTTGACTATGATGAGTTTTTTTAATCATGAAAGGTCGTTTTATTTTGTCAAACGTTTTTTCCGTGTGTCTATCAACATCGTGTGGCTTTTGTCCTTTGTTCTGTTAATATGACATATTACATTGATCTTCCGATATCCAACCTCGCAACTAGAGGTGAGAGATTTAAGGCCTTCTCAAGTCTCTTCTGGTCATGTATTAATACATAGCGCTGAACCTTTGCCACCTTCTAGATCCCAGAAATACATCAGAGCTTTTCAAAGCCCCCTGTGGACTATTTATTCCCCCAATTTTTCCTTTTAAGCTTTTGACTCACCTCTTGCCTTCCCCAGCTGGTATCGCCTCCTCAGCCAGCTGCAATGTTAAACAGTTACCACTGATAGTTTTTGACAAGCACCTTGGAAATAGGTTTTCCTTATTGAGCAAAGCTCTGAGTCAAATCAAATGAAGACAAGCCCTGAGAATAGGGCTTTTTCAAGGAGCTTTCAGACAGATCAAATAGTGACATTTATCTGGGGATACGTGTTTGGGGACCTCCAAACCCATTGTGGCTGCTTGGCAGCTGGTTTCACAGCTACCATGGTTCTGAAACTGCTTGTTTTGAAAATTACTGAGGACCCTGGGGAGAGCCCTATGGAAATAATGCAAGTTAAAATGTCACAAATCTTGTTTTCTTTACCAAGATCCAACACTTTTCTTAACTAAACACTGCTCTGATTGTCATGAGTCTTTGGTTAATTTCCAGACTTGCGAAAAAAGTTGATTTTGACCATTTTGGCCAGTCTTCTCATTGTTTATATGGATTTTCAAAAGTCCTTACTCCAACAGTTCAGAAACGTTCTCCCCTGTGGCTGTTTTTAAATTAATTAAATGAAATACAATTAGCAACTCAGTTCCTCACCTGCACTGGCCACATTTTAAGTGCTTAATAACAACATGAGGCTACTAATGACTGTATTGGACAGTGCAGACACAGAACATTTACATCATTGCAGAAAGTTTTCTTGTACAGGGCCTAGCAGAGAGGAACCTAGAATCAGGATAGAATTCCAGAAACCTTTGTTCATGTCTCGTCCCCTTCCAGGTCCGTCCCCCCCAACAATCACACTGGAGTGGATTCCCTGTGTTACTTCTCACTATTGACTCGGAGACTGGACAGAGTTGCCATCTATGAGGAATTCTTACGGATGACCCAGAACGGTACCCGGCTGCAGAACTTCACCTTGGACAGGAACAGTGTCCTTGTGGATGGTAAGGCTTCCTGGTCATTGGGGCAGGGGTGGAGGCTCCCACTTCCATACCTGGGGCCTTCCCTGGGAATCTGGAGTCTTGGGGATGACTCCATATTTTACTTTTTCAGACTAGGAAAAGGTGGCAAGGTTTCCTAGGCTTTCTCCCCCACTGAAGGAGAGAAAAAGAAACACTCAATGGGACATGAAAGGCATTTGCGCTGTCCTTTCTGGCTCTGTGACCTCAGGCTAATCACTTCTCCTCTCTAGACTTCTTCCTTATCTCTGCACTGCAAGCCACTGGATGATGTGGTCAGCAAGGGCTTCCAGTTCCAAGTCGTATGTGATCCAGCCTCAACAAACGTGGCAAGATAAACCTATTCTCCAACTCCAGAGGTGCCTCCAAGGTGGCTAAACCTTGCATATCCAAACTTATCCCTTCAAAGAACAGTTCTGTATATTGCACCATGCACTAGGAACATAGCAGGAGAGAGTGACTGTCTACGTCTTCACCATTATATCCCAAGAACCCCATATTCTGCCTGGCATATAATGAACACTCAACACATATTTGTAGAAGGAATAACTAGATCTCATAGAAGGTCCCTTGTAGGTCACGTGTGAATAACGTAAGATCAGGAAACTTCCCCAAAAAAGTTGATTCAGACCATTTTGGCCAGTGTTCTCATTGTGTATATGAATTTTCAAAAGTCCTTATTCCAACAGTTCAGAAACGTTCTCCCATGTGGCTGTTTTTAAATTAATAAAATGAAATAAAATTAGCAATTCAGTTCCTCACCCACACTGGCCACATGGTGCTTGTGTGCCGCTGTCCTTGGTCCTGAACTGTTGTCCAAGAGGGCACTGTGGGTTCTCTGGAATCAACCCGACTTTCACAGGTCTGTCAATGTTTTTCATTGTCTTGTTTTATCCATTCCTTTTTAAAAGAAGAAAACCACTGCTGACTCACAGGCTGTATAAAAACAGGCCATGAGCCCAACATGGCTGTAGTTTGCCAAACCTTGCTCTGAATTTGGCACTAGCCAATAAAACTTTCTGCAGTGATAAAAGAAAAAAAGTTTATATCTGTGCTATTCAGCACAGTAGAGCCACATGTGGCTACTGAACACTTGAAGTATGGTTTGTGTGACTGAGGTACTGGAGTTTTGATTTTATTTCATTTTAATTTAAAAAGCCACTTGTGGCTCCCCATATTGCACATACCTTTAAGAAGTTGGGGCCGGGCGCGGTGGCTCACACCTGTAATCCTAGCACTCTGGGAGGCCAAGGCTGGAGCATGGCTTGAGCTCAGGAGTTTGACACCATCCTGAGCAAGAGTGAGAACCACCTCTACTAAAAATGGAAAAATTAGCCAGGCGTGGTGGTGCACGCCTGTAGTCCCAGCTACTTGGGAGGCTGAAGCGGGAGGATTGCTTGAGCCCAGGAGTGGGAGGTTGCAGTGAGCTATGATGACACCACTGCACTCTACCCAGGGTGACAGAGCAGGACTCTGTCTCAAAAAACAAACAAACAAAAAAGTTGGCTAGAAAGAGTTGGTAGATGTAGAGGAACCTGCAACCCTTCCCACCATGCCCAATGGTTGCTACCCACCCCTATCCTCATGGAGTGTGTGCCACACTTAGGAATAACCAGAATAGGCAGCTGTCAGTTATAAATTATTTGATGTGAATGTATCAATACTTCGGGGTGATCATCAGAGAGTGCTTCCTGGAGGAAATGACATTGAAGGTGAATCCTGCAAGATGAGACTAAAACAAAAAAGTGATGCAGATGGGTTTAAATGTGTTTCTAGGCAGAGGGAAAAAAATCTTTTGAGTGAGAATTTAAAAATTTAGAGAGATCCTGTGAGTTCCCAACTGCGATGACCCATTCTCTCCGCCACCCACCGCCATGAGATGGCTGAGCCCAGTTTAGGTCCTCCGTGCCCAGAGGCACAAACTAAATTTATTACACCTTTGTAGTGTGATAATGGCCTTGAGCTCATGTAGCAAAGTGTTATTTTTTTTTAGAGAGAGAGAGAGCTACAAATTGAAGTATTCAGGATGAAATGTCCTTGACTCCTTGATGTCTACTTGATTCTAAAACTGTCAACGAAAACATCGGATGACTCAAGGGCAGCAAATGTCAATAATTCATACATCAGATGGAACATTGTTTTTCATTTGATGAGATATAAATCATTCCACCGAAGTGATGGATGTTGCTTATACTGTCCTCTCTGCTTTTCTGGAGGTTCCAAAAGTTGCATTTAAAAGACTAAAATGCACTCACGAGCACTGTCCATTTCTTTTGTTTCTAGGGTATTCTCCCCAGGAAAATCATGCCTTGACTAAGAATACGGGTAAGCCTCAAAGAAGCCCCGGCCCGGGGGAGGGCGGAGGCCACCCCATGCTTTGCCTTGTCAAAGGGCACCGTGCACATAGGGTCTTGAATGTTGATGAGCGTTGGCCAACCCATGGGAAGGATCCTTGAGGCACAGTGAAGGGATAGTGGAGTCCCAGCCTGCTGGGGATCCCACTTCTTTGGGGTTTCTGGACCATGAGGTGCTGAGCTGCTAAGCTTTGCTCCACAGGGCTGTGCCCATGCTCAGGCAACAAAGGGTCCAAAAAGGAGCCCTGGCAGGTGGCAGGAGGTGGCTCACCCTAGCTCTTATCTCCCCAGACCTTCCCTTCTGGGCCATCATCCTCATCTCGCTGGCAGGATTCCTGGGATTCATAACATGCCTCATCGCCTGTTTCCTGGTGAGCAAGGAAGGGATTCTTATCTTCTTACCATTGGGTTGTAAGAGTTTTTAATATATTATCAATACAATTCCTCTGCTGGGTATATGTTTTGCATATCATTTTCTCCCAGTTTGCATGTGGCTTGCCTTTTTCTTTTCTTTTGTTTTTTAATTTTCTTTTTAGTAGACAAATAATAAATGTATCTATTCAGGGGGTACAATGTAGGCCTTAGATATATAACATTCCGGGTTGATTAAGTCAAGCTCATTAACATATCCATCACCTCTCATGTCTATGATTTATTCATGGTGCAAACATCTGAAATCTACTCTCTTAGCAATTTTGAAACATGCATTCCATTATTATTAACTACAGTCCCCATGTGGTGCAATAGATCTCACAAACTTCACAGCATTAGTCATTAGGGAAACGTACACGAAGCCTCAACGAGATGCCACTACACACAAGAATGGCTAAGATTTAAGACTGACTATAACAAGTGTTGACAAAGATGTGGGACAACTGCAACTCTCATAGAGTGCTGGTGGAAAATAGCTTGGCTGTTTCTTTGAAATTTACATACACCCACCATATGACTCAGCCAGCCCACTCCTGGTAATTTATCCAAGAGAAATAAAAGCATATGTCCATACAAAGACTTGTATACAAATGTTCATAACAGCTTTGTTTTTAATAGCCAAAATCTGAGACCAGTCCCAATGTCCGTCAACAGGTATATCTCAACAATAGAATACTATCCAGCAATAAGAAGGAAGAAATTATTAATACGTGCAATGACATGCATAAATTGCAAAATAATTATGCCAAGTGAAAGAAGCCAAGGAAGAGTACATACCACAGGAGTCCATTTATTTTAAACTCTAGAAAATACCAATGACAGTAGGGACAGAACAGTTGGCTGGGAATGCAAATGTGTTTGCAAGTGTCAGGGGCAAAGGAATTATAAGGGAACAGGGGGAAACTTTCGAGGATGATGAATGGGCTTTCCTTATCTTGATTGTGGTGGTGCGATTCAATTAAGTTATAATTGAAAGTTGTTAAATCATTCACATTAAATGTGTGGCTTATTGTATGTCGGTTACACCTCAGCTAACCTGGAGGGGTGTGGGGAAGACAGGAAGGGAGAGAGAGAGAGAAATGAAGGGATATCAGAAGGGGAAAAAGTAAAAAAAAAAAAAATGAAGAGTGAAAGGGGAGAGAGAAGAAGAGAAAGAGGTGAGAAGAGGAAAGAAGGGGAGGAGGAGAAGAACCGAAGGAGGTAAGAGGAGAGAGACACAGGAAGTGTAAGGTCCCTGGCTCTGGCCATATTCTTGCCCCCGAGGTTGGCGTGGGCGGCCGACAGTCCACTCTGAGCCCTTCTCTTTACCCTCACAGGTGATCGCCTGCCTGCGGAGGAAGAAGGAGGGTGACTACGAGGTCCAGCAACGCCACCTGGGCTACTACCTGGCACTCCTAGACCTGAGGAGGCGGCAATGACTGCATCTTCCTTGGGTTCCTTTTCCCCAGCCAGGCTCCAGAAAAGCTTGGCTGGGGCAGAAATAAACCACATTGGTCGGACACAGTCTGTGAGCCTTTCTTGACTTGGCCCCTGAGTGGTTCCCAGGGGACTAAGAGAAAACTCTTCCTTCCTCCTTCATTAAGTCTAGAAGGCAACTATCAGTTCTCTCTTTTTTTCCACAGTAACAAATTTATTAAACAAATTTATACAACAAAACTATTTCTCGCTCATACAAAGGTTGAGGGACTCTCCAAGGTAGCTCTCCTCCACGTAGTGACCTGTGCAACCAAGCTGCTTTGATTTTGGGGTCATGCCACTTATAATATTTAGCTTCTGTGGTTACCAAGGCAATGGAAGAAGCAGCTGGAGTGTCACCTACTGGGTCTTAAATCCCGGAGTGACACAAATTACTCTCCTTATGGCACATTGCTAAGACCATCTAAACGATGCCTGCCTAAATGCAAGGGGAGTATAAATTCCAGGTCCATAACATCCCATCCCTTAGAGACACCAGAATTGGTGAAACTGGTATAGAAATTGCCACCGCTTAAAATGGACATCCACTTGTGTCACTTTTCCCTTCTTAGTCACACTGCACCCATTAGGTGTAAATTTACCCATCCCCTCCTCCCCCTACCCCCTGCCTGACACCCGATGAATGTTACTACTATACGTGCACTTAACTGTTGGTCAGTTAAGTCAGTTAATACCAATCTGATGGTGAGTACATGTGGTGCTTGTTTTTCCATTCTTCTGATACTTCACTTAGCAGAATGGGCTCCAGCTCCATCCAGGAGAATACAAGAGGTGCTAGATCACCACTGTTTTTTGTGGCTGAGTAGAACTCCATGGTACACATATACCACATTTTATGAATCCACTCATGGATTGATGGGCACTTGGGTGGTTTCCACATCTTTGCAATTGTGAATTGTGCTGTTCTAAACATTCGAGTGGAGGTGTCTTTTTTATAGAATATTTTTTGTTCCTTTGGGTAGATGCCCAGTAATGGGATTGCTGGTCAACCTCTGTGGAAAGTAATATGGAGATACCTCAAAGAGCTACAAGTAGATTTTCTTTTGAACTTAGAGATATAGCTGAAAAGCAAGGAAGCAGGAAGAAATCCAAAGAAGAGAGGGCATTCTTAAGGAACTCCTTTTGTGGAGATGGCCATAAATCTGATGACCAGTATAAGCTGTTTTAATCTGCCTTACTTATCTTACGGTAGCCACTGATTGTAATACTGAAGTCCCCGCCTAATGGGAAGTACTGCGCATGCTTAATCTGTATCTTATGTAAACAGGCGATGACGACACATACAGAGGACTCTGCATCACCTGTCAGAAAGAAATTTAAGGCTCCACAAACGGGCAGGCAGTGAGCGTCTTACTCTCCAAAGAATTCCTGCCGTGGCTCACAAGTGAGTGCCTGGTGGATTCGTGTCTTGACTAGGAGTGGACGCCCACTTGACTAGGAGTGGACACCCTGTATAAATAACCTCTAATAAACTCATCTGACTAGCCACGCTGGACTTACCCGCGTCACTCTGATCTCTCACCACCATCCCAGTTTGGAGGGTGGTTTTTCTATACCATCCTGAGATTTTCCTGAAACAAGGTTTTATCCTGTGAGGAGGACAAAGCCCTGAATAATTCCATGACTTTGATACCTCCCTATTTACTTTCAAATGAGCAAAGTAAGCCAGACACAGAAAAAAAACAAAATACCACATGACCTCACTTACAGGTGGAATCTTTACAAAGTCGCATACGTAGAAACACAGTTTCTCTGAAACTACAAGACCCACCCCTCCTCTTCCTCCTCCTCCTCCTCAGCCTACTCAACGTGAAGATGATGACGATGAAAACATGTATGATGATCCACTCCCACTTAACGAATACTAAATATATTTCCTCTTGTTTATGATTTTCTTAATAAGTTTCTTTTTTCTAGCTTACTTTATTGTAAGAATACAGTGTGAAATACATATAACATACAAACTATGTGTTCGTCAACTGTTTATGTTATCAGTGAGACTTCTGTTGAACAGTAGGCTATTAGTAGTTCAGTCTGGGGGAAGTCGAAATTTATATGCAGATTTTCAACTGCGTGAGGGCTTGGTGCCCCAACCCTGATGTTGTTCAAGAGTCAACTGTGTGCTGCATATATATACACACAAACATCACGTCATACATCTTACATATATACAATAAGTTTTTTTAAAAAAATAAAGTAGAATACAAATAAGTAATGTAAATAGTAAATGAAGATGGGAATATAACATCAAAAAGAAAAATCTCCTTTCCATATTCACCTGAAACCCTATCTCTCACCTCAAAAAGAAATTACTATCTATGTTCTTTTATGTCATGCAGAGGGGTTTAATGAAGAAAAGTATTAGCATATTTTAAAATTTCAAGAGCTCAAAGCAAAAAAAAATCATTTACGGGTACTGCAAAGAGATGTTCATAAAGGATCGTGTTTCATTTCATCTTCACTATCTTCTCTTTTTTTCATAGTGTTTTTCAGGACGCCCTTCTTGGTCTTGCGTTTTCTCTGCCTCATTAGCAAGTCCGTCTGCAATCAATGCTATGGCCAGTCTCTCTCTTACCAACTTCACTTTCCTTTCCTGTTTCCTAATATCTTCCTCCGTGACCAGAAATTGTTTGCAGAGGATCTGTGAGCTACCCAGACCCGCTCCAGGAACAACCTCCGCCAAATCTGAAGACTGGGCAAAGGTGGGCGTGGGACTGGGACACGGACTGCCAGCAAGAGCCCCTGGCAGGGACGCACCTGTACAACCAGGTGCGAGCTTCTGCAAGGATTTGGCAAGATCCAAAATACTTAAAAGTTCTCCTGAACTGCTATAGGCCTGGAGTCCTTGAAGTCTCTTCTGCCAGCAGACCTGTTGGGGCTTTTCCAGGCTCTCTTCCCATTGGTGGTATCTAACCTCATTGCCAGGATGGGATGTGATCTTAGTAACTGGTCGTTTGAATATGTAGCTGGACATCCTCAAAGGGTTGGAGATGCTTAAGTCAGGCTTTGGTTTGTATTGGTTCACACAGCCGTGTTGCTTTCTCTGCAAACTCTTAGCCATCATCCTTCTTTTCCTCTTACGCTATAAAAATAAAAATCATGAAATTGGATCAAAATGATAAACGAAGCCTGCCTTCTCAGCTGACAATGATCTCAGCTGTTTTGGACTTCCATCCCTCCTCTTTCCCTCAGGGATAGGTCTCACATGCCTCCTGCAACATTCCCAAGCAGATTTGAGTCGAGGACAGGCAGCTCAAGGTCAAAACATTCCTCCACTAACCTGCAAACCACCTCCTTGTCTGAGTATCATTTTAGTCTCCTTTTGTCCTTGTCACTCCTACATGCACAAGGCCTGATACCCTCTCTCCTAACACACACGACATGTCTTTTTCTAAATCTCAAATCCTGCGATTCTAATGCTATATTAATCTTTTGCTACATTTCTAATTCATGCATTGTGTCTTACAGACCTCATTTACCCATTGTGCATAATAAATGCTTTAGATCTTTGAATATTAAAAATATTGTTTTTATTTTTTAAA